CCTAATCGGGATAGGTTTGCCTCCAAGCAGAAGCTAGGTGTGTTTAGTATGATTCTGCGCGTGGATTTTCCTATGCTGTTTTGTCTGCATTGAATGGAATGCCACTCTTCCTACCACAGTCAAAAATTTTGTCGAGGTCTTTTTGCAGTGATGGTTGCATGGCATCCATGTTGTCTGGGACATGAGTCGCAGACAACAAAGTTTTGTCGGCGAAGAAAAGAATGGCATGCGTTGTCTTAGGTAAAAATTCGTCCAGAATGGCCTTGGTCCAGATACATGAAGGCAAGGAGCGGGCCTAGTGCGGATTCTGCGGTAAGCCTGCATTGGTTGGCTTTGGCTTCGAAATTCCCAATGCCGATGAAATGAAATTCCCAATGCCAATGAAATTCCGAATGAAATGCCGAAATGACCCAATTTAGCTTGGTATGTTCTATTACCAATATATCATTTCATCCAATAGAGGAGTGTTGCAGATATGTCAAAAGCGTGTTCTCATTCCTGGAGTGCCAGATCTTGTCAAAGTATTATGACGCGCCGAAGAAAATGGCCATGGAGCCTTGTTCGGAGTCCAGTGCCTGCCGCAGGCCGTGTGAAGTGCATGAATTATTGGTTTTGATGTCGCAGGGTCTATATCCATTATCCGTATCCGCTCTGTCGTTTAGTGAGTAAGTTGTTGGTGTTTAAGTGAAGATGGATGCGTTTCGATACTACTATTTCCTTTTGGATAGGCATGGTAAAGGGCTGAGGAAACGGGAGTTTGTTACATCAGAGGGAGATCCCTTGCTGTTGAATATTGGTCGAGCATTCGCCTGTTTCGACGAAGTTGTTGAGCATTGTTGCTGTTGAGTATGCTGTCGACAACTTGTTGAGCATTTTAAGTAGTGGCATCGTAGTGATATGGCAATAAGTTTTGAAATTCAGACAGGTACACTATCCGGTCCGCAAGATGTGTTTAAATCAGTTTGTTGGGGGCTTGAGGGGTTTTCATCACGCTGCGTATTGCGGTCTGTGTGTCAATTGTTGTGGCTATGGAACGTGGTTTTCAGGAATAATGAATTGGACTGTTTAGCAAACTATTTGCTTAGTAGACGTTGGCCTACGTAATCTTCCGTCACTGTTCCCCCGTCTGGCGTATTTGCTGGCGGCATTGCTTGTGCTCTGGGACGTCCTATGATCTTACGAGTTCTTTGGTGATACATGTACGTATTTTGTTTATGTTCTAGCAGTTTGTGTTGATCTATACCAGTGTACCCGGCAGTGGTTCTGTCTGCGACATCAGTTGGTTGTAGGCGTAAGGTTGCGCTGATCTTGCCGTGGACTCCGATCAAAGTTATTTTTGGTCCTTCTGACACGTCAAATGGTCTTAACATATTTACTGACGCTGCGTCTTTATTCCTTTGCACGAATTGGGAGAAAATGTGATGTTTACCTTATTCCTAAGGAAGCTTTGCTTACGTGCCTGCTTCCATGGCTGATGTATGAGCATCGCCTGACGCATAGTTAACAGTCGGATGGTTTTCCCCACCTGCAACCCACCCATGTATTAAAAAACACATTTATTTCGAACGAATGACATAAATGTTTTAAGCTCAGAAAATTTGTTCAGCAGAGCCTGCCGCCTGCGATCTGAACTTTTACCCAATTTAGCCCGCTTCAGTTCATCTGATGATTTTGTATTCGTCCTTTGTTCTGGACAAGGCGGCGGAAGGTTTTACCTGCCCTGTATTGCTTTGGCACACCCTCCGCGGGCTAGTTAAACGCTCCCCAACCAGTTTCCAGCTGACTTGCGTTAGTCCAACTAATTATTCAGCTGGCCAAACAGTGATCCTCCCCCGAGACTGGTCCCCACCGCCGCCAGATTACAAACCAAGGCATCTGTCCCACAATCAACGTGTCGGTAAGCGCTGTATCTCTAGGAGTTCGTTCTTTGACACTCGACATGCGCGTGATCGCTTTATAAATGGGTTATTGAAATACCCATAGGCTGTTTATTGTGTCATGTCACGAGGGCCCAAAGCCAAAATCTTGACTTTGCAGTCAGATGACCAAACTGCGCCTTTTCCGAGACTGGCCCCCACCGTCGCCAAAGTACAAACCAAAGCATCTGTCCCGCAATTTACGGGTCGGTAAGCGCTGTATCTGTATGGGTTCGTTCTTTGCTGCACTCGACATGCGCGTCATCGTTTTATAAAGGGATTATTGAAATCCCATAGACCGTTTATTTTGTCATGTCACGAGAGCTCAAAGCCAAGATTCTGATTCGTGATCTCGTCCTGCGCCCAGCTGTCGCACCTGGTCGAGTCGCTGAAGGAGCAGATGCTGAAGAAGGCGCAGGAGATCGCCGCATACCAGGAGAAGCATCAGATCCGCGTGCAGGGACAGGGCCCGGCCAGCGCCGGTGGCGGCGGAGAGGAACGGCCGGCGGCGGCACGTGGCGCGGCCGCCTCCGGCGTTCTCGTGCAGCAAGGACAGTCGTAGGGCCGGTTGTGCCACCCCCCTCCGCCCCGCCCCGCACTGTGTCATGCGCTCGCTTGTTCTCATTAATTTGCCTAATACAGCTATGAACCACGTGTGGTCGCGTTTTGGCGGGGACCTGCTCGGATGCCGTTTGGTGGCAGCGGTTTGGTATGTTGCGCGGCGCGGCACATTGTGAACGAACGTGTCCCATATTTACTAACCAGCCTCTCACACATATTTCGGAGGGATGCGATTCCGTATCGCTATCACCAGCCTGGCAGCATGGCGTTCTACAAACGAGCAGGCGCGAACCCAGCACCACCACCAGCCGTCACATGCATGACCACGTGGCAGCGAACCCAGCACTACCACCAGCCGTCACACAAACGGCAGCGAACCCAGTATCACCAGCAGCCGTCACTCACATGGCGGCGAACCCAGCACCACCACCAGCCGTCACACATATGGCAGTGCAGCGAGCCGTTCCTGCTGCGGCGACCTACGACCCAGGGCGGCCCGCGGGCGGGTCCACCTCCGCCCCGATGGGCCGCGGGGACGGTTAGGGCGACCGGACGGTCTCCGTACGGCTGGGAGTCATACAGATGGTGGTGGGGCTTCCATCGAGACTGAAGCGACCGCGGACTCCGGCGGCCCTGAAATGGACTCGGCGGAATGCGTGCGCCAGTTAAGTCCGTTGCCAAGACGGCAACGATTACAACGTTTTCTATTACCCTGATCACAGCGCCACGAAAACTGCGAAATATCTCCGCGTTGGGTTATGACTCAGTGCGATGGTGACTCGGCGCGGCGGTGACTCATCATCACTAGTGACTCAGGAATGTTGGTGACTCAACAGCGGCAGCGCCACCAGCATCAGCTACTCATCAGCGCCGCTGAGCCTACTGTTACTGGTCCTGAGGACTTAAAGGTGCCTTACGATCGGGGACAGCCTCCAAGGCGGCCGGTGACCCTGAAGAGCAAATACTTGACACGCGCTCGGGTGGGGGTCAGATTGACCCAGCCGAAGGTCTTTCCAGAATGATTTTCGAACGACACGGCTTGGCCGTGCCACACCTGGCGTAGCTGTCGAAAACTGAATAGCGGATCTTTTGATGTAAACAATTCGGATGGGCCTTGTTGGGTCGCTGACCTATGGCGGGCCAGCCAGACCATGGCCGTCAGCGAAGGGCATTTCAAGGGAATCGCTCCATGTGATGAAACAACAGCGTACGACGAACCCATACCTACCTGAGATAGTTTCTTAGACAATGAAGCAATTGAATTTAGAATTACAGCCTACCCCGCTTGCCCAACGTTAGGTATGAAGGTGAGACCGAAGTAAACACTAACCTGCTTTTTTACTCAAGAGCTCGGTTTTCAGGGGTAGTTTCTGGCGCTCATTTCGAATTTATTTATGATAGGGGCCGCGACAGACATGTTCCGCGGACTTGACAAAGGTCAAAGCAGGTAGCTGACGTACTGTACTGGCCCACCTCAACATTTTGTTTTCAGGAACATACCGCCTAGCGTAACCCCCAAGTCATTCGAATGACAAAATAAAAGCAATATCGTAGGCACCTGTTCACCTGGACCTCATAAAATCCAAATAAGTCACCAATCTCATTGACCTTTCTCTTAGAACGGGTATCTAGCTTCATGGAGGTTGCATGAGGTCCGGGGGCACCTGAGTACCAATCTGGAGTTTGAACTTGTTCGACCCCAAGGTCATGACCTAGGGACTCAAATTTTGACACAAGCGAGCTCACGCATAGCCCAATCCACCGTCAAATCGGTATTTCTCGCTGTCGCAGTGCTTGAGATCTCAAGGGGGTCAAATCGCCCCCACCCCAGAGAAGAGTATTCGACCGGCCACCCACGCGCAGGTTAATGTTTAGTTACAAGTCAGCCAGTGTCACCCAGACGCTTGCAACGGCCTCTGCGTTCCGACAATTTCGGAACAGTGAAGTTTACAACATAACTTTCGAAAAACACGTTTTTACCCCGCACCCAGTCCTCCCGTTCCTAAAATGGGCAAATTACGTAGTCCGACAGTCTGCTCCCTGCCTGGGGCGTCAGGAGTACAGCCCAGCAAATGTGGCTATCGGGTTCTCCATCGCCGACCCTGTCAAAGAGGCTCTATGGAGGGAGCAAGGGGCAGACACGATAGCCGACCGACTCCTGGCTCGAAACGGTCGTCACTCACGTGAAGCGCCCGTGAGCAGCGACCATTGCCGCCTGTTTGTGGTTCAAACCGCTAACACCCCTTCCCAGAGCAGATACGGATTTGTGCTGTGTGTGATCAAGGACTGCATCTGGCCCGCAAGTACTCGACGTATGGCAGCAGAACACCGCTCGTTGACCGCCGGCTTGCATCACACCATGCGGCATGACACTGCCGAAGTCGACGCGCGTCTCATTGCGCTGCTTCTCCCGAGTACGATCCATACGCTCTCGCTCCTGATGTACTGTGTAATGCGTGAATGCCATGGCCCAAGTCGTTCCCACGTCATACAACAACCGGCTGGTAATGCTACATCACAACCGACTCGTGACGATATTTATTCCACGGACTTGAGTACCATCACAAACGGCGCGACCGAGACAGCAAACGTTGGCTTGACGCCCCCGATATCATGACGATGGCCGTCCTTCCGAGCGTGCGCTGCAGCGGCCAGCGGCCAGCGGCCAACGGGAGGCCACATCACGTCCAAGTGCCGGCCACCTCCGCCGGTCGCGCGCTGCTCCCCCAGAGGACCGGCGCTCACCCCGCGGCTGGGGCGCAGGGTCGCGCGCTGCCGACGGCCGGCCCCGCCGCGGCCGCCGACCCGCACAGCTCGCTAGTCCTCCTTCTTGTCGCCGCCGTCTGGTGCGGGCACCGGATCGGAAGCGGGGGCGGGGGCAGGGTCCGGCTCCGTGGCCGGGGCCAGGGAGGGGGCGGAGGCGGCTGCCGCGGCTGACGGGCCCTCCGATTTGCTGGCCTCGTCGAAGTTCTCCACTAGGTCCGGGACCTCCTCATCGTTGTCGGCGGCGTCGCCGGCGGCGCCTACTGGAATCAGGGACGGCCTGGTCAGCCTCCAGGTTGAGGACGACGCACCGGGCTGGTTGCGGGCAGCGCTTTCATACCATGCTGTCTGCTGCCCTGCCACAGGTGGCGCTAAACCAACAAGGCGTGGCTTCCACGCCTGACAGCACGCCATTTTGTAAAACCATGCCGGATATAAATGGTCCTGTTAGTCTCGATGCACATCATGGGGACAATGAACCTGTCATAAACCACACACCCTGCTGTCCGGGTGACGTCATATGCAGATTGCACGACCCGCTTATAGATTAGCCGACTTCAACATCGGCGACTTATCACGTTATGTCCGATATGATACCACCCACACAGCGCTTCAAAGATCGACCATTTGTTGGCTAGTTGTATAGACTTCGCGCTGAGACCAGGTCGCTCCTGCCGCTGACAACGCCACCACCTCCGACTGCACTATGCGCCGTTCCCACGGCCGACTTTCCGAGGACGGAGTGGCCGCCTGGCCGGCACTGCTGGCACTCACCGCTGGCCTGGACGGAGGAGGCCAGCCGCTTCAGGTGGGTGATGCTCTCCGAGCCCAGCTGGTTCAGGATGGTCGGCAGCATCTCCGTGATCTGCTTCATCTCGGCGTGGCCCGAGATGGCGAATGTGTTGGACTGCAGCGACGCCTGCACTTTCGGATTGTTGAAGTGTATCACAGTACTGTCATCCTTGATCATGTTGACCTGGAATTGCGCAGTGCGTGCATTTGTCAAGATCAAGTGTCTAAGACTGGGCTGACGGATGGTAATTACGCATCGGGCTTACGCAATCTCCCAAATGGAGGGTGGCTACACACCGGGCTTATACACCGTCCAGAATGGAGGGTGGGTACGATAAGCATAGCCAAACAAGAATGGTGAAGGGCACGGAGGGTGATTACACGTTTTGGAGCATGTATACACAGAGCCTTTCATAAATTGCACACCAATGTATATGCACAGGTGTTTCATAGCACAGGGTATGAGACTGTGTTGTTTATAGTATGTCATGTTTAATGCCGATGCTTCCTTTTATTTAAAGTGCTTTTACATAAATTGCTGCATACAAAAAGTGGCGCTTTTATTGAGTGCCACCCATTGTACTATTATCTCTCCGAGAAAACCTAAATAAAGCTGTAATGACCACTTGGATAATTTTGTGCTCTACTATAGACAATTTTGTACTCCCCTACCAGGAAAATCTTTGGAATTTCCAACACTGACAGTTCTGTAAATGTGAAATGCTGTACCTAGAAGGTGTGTGATGCTAACTAGGGCCCCAGGCCATCATGCATATTACAGTGTGAACCTGGGAAAGCCAACGCAAGTGGTGATGGTCAAGATTATCACATGCATGGCAAGTATGGCCCCACAACAGCTACCAGACAACTGAAAAGCTCAGCTCTACAATGTTGTAATCTTTGGCCATTGCATGCTTCAAAATGTTTCTCACATACTGTAAAGATTCTTGCCACAAACACAAGCTAATAAGAAACATACAAAAAATGGACCTCTGTTCCCTAAGAAACACAACAACATGGAGCAGTGATGGAACCTTGCCAATGTTGGTCCTATGCATCATCCCTGTGCCAGAACATTTTCATTTACACTGCATTTCTTAATGTATGCAAAAAAAAACAGTGCCATATTAATATTGTCAGCTACATGATGGGTCTCTTCCTCAAGGCTGATGTTTGTGACATAACTTCAGAAGCCATTGGATCGCTAAAACTGACAGCAACAGATGACTTTATTATGAATTTATGGTTCAAGGCACATCTAAGTGAGCTATAGGCCTCAATGGCTCACCTCCTCAATTCCAGGGATGTTGCTGACAGGCAGCTTCTTTAAAGAATTTTGAAGTTTCCTGTCATCTGTATTGGCAGTCTTGTGGACGACTTTCCTCTTCCTCCGTGGCACTCCTTTGCCACCCACCCGCACCTGCTCCTGCAGCTTGGCAAGCTTATCCCTGTTCATGCTGAAGTCTGAAAGTATGAAAAACATTGTACAAAGATGTTCATTTCCCTTCTCTAAAAGTAAGCCAACATTAACAAAATTCATTTCCTGGCTTGCTTGGTGCAAATACAAATCGAGTGGCAATGGAGATAACACAAAATGCAAAGAAGGTACCAAGGCTAGGGTACTTTACAGCAACACAATCTAGACAGTTCATATACTATCATATTTTGAGGGAAAACCTTGGTTTTTAAGTTCAACCATTTATGCCATAAAACTGAACTTGTCTAACCTTTCCTCACAAGTTTTCTGGTCAGACCAGTATGAATCATACAGAGTGGACAGCTCTATGATATAATACTTATGATGGTAGTATGGGCAGTGTTTTCAGAATTAACCACTTAGAAGACAGAACTGATTTTCATTCATGCCATTGCATTCCCTGCTCTGGGATCATTGCCTGGTGCTCCTACCCTTGCTCATGATCAGCCAATCAGCATCAAACCTGGCAGCAGTAAGCCTAGAATATATGTGTCAGACTATGCAAATTGGCCAGGCAGGCCAGATATCAGGGTTTAAGGTCAAAGGCAAGTAACAGATAAGCACTCTAACCATTGTGCTACAGAGGCCACTGGAGACCTTTTTTAATTCTTACAGCAAAAAACTGCATTTAATGTGTGCACAACCCACTTTGAAATTTTTGCAATGCTGAGCACCTGGAGCAGATGTAGGGTTAAGTGAGCAGCATCTGTTGCCTAACATCTGTCTGCATTTGTCTACTCCCAACAACAAATCATAATTTTTCAACGATTATGGACCACAGTTGCCTGGCCATGTAACATACTTTCTATTCTAATTGCCTATCTTAACACAAACAAAATACAGTTGCACTTGTGCAAAGCCATTCCTTAATAATTCTACAGCATCAACCACACCAGGACATAACATGACACAAAAGGTTGATGAAGAAACTATATACTGAGGGTTATATGGCACAAAGCTGGACTTTCCACTTCACTTTCTTCCTGTCCACAATAAGGTTTTCAACAAATGTGATGATCAAAATTTCAAGAGACCAGTCTCCACAGTATGTGAAGATGTGTCTCAGCATAGTCCACAGAAGTGAACTGTAGAACTCTGTTCAATATTTCAAATTGAATGCAACTGGGTCAACACTCAAATAAAAGTGAGAGACAGTAGTATTAGCCCTTTTACCTGAAAAAACAGGAGAATACAGATATATTTAGGTTGATATTTTGGTGACATGCCTTTACTGAAACAACAGCAGAAGTGAATTGTTCTCTGGTACTGACAGGAAACCTGCTGTTACAAAACATTTACCAAAAAATACTGTTTTGACTTCAGTTACTCAAGCTTTGATCAGCCAGAACTATCCGGCTACATGCAGTTTCACAGTATCATTGGTCATGGTATACATTGGCATGTTATGTTAAAAAAAGCATTGGACATCAAGCATCATTTTAAAGGCAAAACACAAAGTAAACAATAGTAAAACAGGTCACCTAAACTCTTACCTTGGAGCATAAATAATTACAATAGTGAACATCCGAGTGCTGCAAACACACAGCAACAGCAACTCCGGCACCATTGCTATACATGGTCACAACATTACTGCATACCAAGAACCACAAAAAGGTACAAGGCCAAGGTAACAAGAATCTAATGAAATGTCTTTCTTGCGTATCCAAGCAGTCTTCCGTAGTACTATTTGTAGATTGGTAGACACGGGGCAGGGCAAATATGATGTCTCTGGATAGGGAATGAAAAGAAAACTGAGAACATGACAGTTATACAAAACTTCTTAATATATATATGGCATGGGACATGGACACCAACTGGACAATGGGTTGAAGGAGATAGGGTGAAGAGGTTAGTCAGGTCAGGTTAGGCTAGGCTGTTGTTAGGTTGGGTGATTATGTTAGGTGAGGTTAGGTTATGTTACATTAAGTTAGGTTCTGGTCTATTCTGACCTGCATGTTTCATTAACTTAGCGACACATTACCAAAAACATATTTCATTGCATTATCATTGTTACCTTGGCCCAATACATTTTTTTACAGTTCTTGATGTGCAGTATCACTGTGACAATGTGCACATAACATAGCAATGGCGCTGGGGGATCAAGATTGTCTAGTGTGTGCGGCGCTCAGAATCATGCCACCATAATTATTAGAATCTGAGGGCAGAAGTATGGATCTACCTACTTTATCATGAGTTATATATTCTGCCCTAAACATGACAAATGATGTACAATGCTCTTTATTAACACAAGGTACCAATGTATACCTACCCCATATTATTTGCCAGTCTGTGAATTACACAGGCTGTTCAGCGCACTACCGAGGAACATTTTTCACATAAATAAGGCAGCAATAATACCCCTTTTCCTTGAAGGAAAACCATGAGAATGAAGATATAGATGGGTTGATACTTTGGCAACATGCCTTTGTTGAAACAATAGCTGAAGTCACTTCTACTATTGTCTTGATAAAGGCACAACTCACCTCTATTTTCATTAAGGGCATGTCACCAAAATATCAGCCAAACTTTATCTCCATTCTCCTGCTTCTCCTGCGCAGACTTAAGGCAATTACTGCTATCTAAACTGCATTACATAATTCCACGCACTTTCGTAACGATAGTAACAGTAACGATACCGACGCGGCAAAAGGCAGCACATATAAGGAATAAGATAGCAAATTGAGCACGTGCACTGCGCGCCAGAAACGCCTCACTTCAGGCACCCACATTTTACGGGGCGTACGGACCCCACTACCAGGTCAAGCAGCTCAACGCACACCATTTCAAGATATTATTTACATTGGAAACATTAAATCACTCCTTTAGGGGGATACATACCGAAGTAATATACGAGAAATGAGCTCCCGCCCAAACTATTCACCGTACTCCAAAATGCCGGGGACGTGACGCATTCAAGGACGCACTTTGTGCCGGGGAGGCCCGTGAAGGTTAATAGGGACACCTGCAAACGAAATGACGACAAAGAGAAAAGTGTACGAACGCAATCTTATGGAAGACGATGAATAACCTTTACAACCTTTGGAATTGAAGAATACAGCGGGTTTTACATGCACAAAATGTTTCTCAGCTGAACCTCAGGTAGTCAAATCTTGCTCCTTGCGTCAATTTTAGCTTAGGGCTTTCAATGCTTAGTTCAGACTATATCACCATGAAAACTTTTATGAAAATTGGAAGGTTTCGCACTGAACGATGTTGACCTTTGACTTCGTAATATCTAGGAAATTTGTGTAAATCAACACCAGCTGTCAGGTCTTTGAAAGATATTACGCACAGGGCCCCGCGCAACGCCACGTTTTGTCAGCACCAATAAGAATCCAGCATTCAACTCCAGCATTGCGCGAACGTCACGTGATGACGCACCAGGGACGTCATCACACTTCGGCTAACATGACACCACACCCCTACTGTTCCTAAGGATGGCACCAACCCGTCAGCAGATAAAGACGGCGTTTGCTGGGGGCGCGAGACGATATCAAAGTTGGGATGAGAGCAGCCTTGAGAAGTCCAATGATTCCAAAAAGTACCATAGCACTGCAACGAAAGCCGGCCTGATTCCGACCCCCATTTGCTATAACCGGATCTCGACCACTTCAGTTTCAAATTTGGCAGGAAATAATATCATTACGGTGTTCAGTACCAACGTTAGCACGTGTCCTGGTGCGCGAGCTGAATATTGCCCATGCTACTGCCTTTTATCCGTTACATTTATTTGTTAATTATATCATAATACACTCTTCACATGCATATTGCGATCATATTTGGCTGCATATCGCAAATAATAGAAGAAAGCGGTAGTCAGACGAGGAAGAGAGGAAGCTCGTGGGGCTCCAGCCCCCCCCCCCCCCCCTATCTCCCGTCAGGTTCGAGGGCAGTTTTCACCAGGGCACTACTGACTATAATTCAGGAGTTTGGTGATCAGGAAAACTATTTTGGATTTAAATCTTCTAGGCGCTACCATATGGGCACAGGCAGTCCGAGCCAAACAGCAGAGATTTAGCAGCAAGATAAGCGGACAGCTGCGTTGACCTCCATGGTCCGCAACTGGAAGAGCCGTGCGTTCGAGAACAGGAGGACCGGTGCTTTATGCTCTCATCTCTCAGTTTTGGACGACTTTGGGCCCGCAAGGAGTCTATTGCGGTGGACACGCCTGTGACTTTATCGAGAATCTCAGTTCAAACATCTCTGATTTATAGTCCCCAGCAGTTCTCTATTACGTTGCTGTAGGCTTGTTTTACAAGAGTAAGACATTCATCTACTCTGACAAAAGGGCACCAGACTTAAATATATGCATGGTACCTGCTGCATCATAACACGTATATGAATTATGATGGAATTAAGCGGACCATTTGCAAGACTTTCAAGAGTAATTTCATGTTTTTTTATATTTCCATTACTGCTTATGAACGACCTTTGCTTGAGCTAATGATCCAAAAATACAACAAAAATACAAACTCGGCCTTTTTCACGGAAAAGCGGCTACATAACACCTCAACACCATGCCGAAATAAAAAAAATCCTCCGTCAAATCGCCTGGCTCTCGGCTGCACGACGGCGCAAGTGGTAGTGCTTTGGGTTAGGTATGGGTGGGTTCACAATGTATATCGCAGTCATCGAATTACCAAACGGTCAAAAGGTGCGTGTACTTTTTTGGTGACATGAGGCATAAGCGCCGCATTTCGGGGAATAGGTAGTTTTGTTTACGCGTGTAGATTCGCGAACTTGGGAATCTGCGCACGTCTTCTCAGCAGGCGTGCCTGGGAGGGCATATATTCGTTGCATCCCTCCTACGACTATGGTGATGTTTGAAACAATAGCCACGCGCCACCACGTCCGACGTAGGTCATTGGTAAGGACTGTGAATGCCCCACAGGGCGAGTGCCAATTTTTTATAGTTTTTGATGCACATTTCATGAACATGAAATGATATCAATTGACAATGGACCACATTTGATAGCCGGCAGATCATACGATCGAACCTGCCAACGTTTGCTTGGACCTGAACCTCTGACCTTTCCAAACCACAGACCCGTCAAAATCAAACGATACTCAGCCTATTTCAGTATTGCTACATGGCTTTCCAAATTTGGGCACTCGACGTGATTCCGCCACTTGCAGGCTGCTAATCCCATAATGGTATTCCAGTTTGGCTCATGAACTTTCGAAATCGTTTGAACGCTCTTCCCACTTTTGCTCTGTCGCAACCATCCGCTGGCGGAGCAAAGGACGGAAGAGCGTCATTCTGTCCTCCCCCCCCCCCCCCAAATGATAAAACAGCAGGTAAACCCGGCACATGCCTTGGTCCTGCTCTAGACCGGTTCGGATTCGGTAAATTCTTTATCCGAGCTATATCGGTAGCAAGAGTATCCTGCGCATGCAGTAAGAATTACTGCATACGTAGTACCTGAATGATAACATCATTCCAGTTAACCTAGAATATTACTAAACAACCAAAAAAAGTGTTAAATGAGCATTAAATATTCGTGCGAAAACCGATGAGCGTTACGTTTGGTTTGATCTAAAAAAATGGAAAAGCTTAGCTTAGAGCATGACACGATTTTGAATAATTCAACCGGTTTATCAGGTCCAGCACACCTAATTTGTAAAGACGGGTGTTCGGCTAAGAAGAGTAACATACGACGAAAATTACTTGGTCTGTTAATTGATCTAAATTATGTTTGTGCATCAATATGTGAGAAATGCCAAGGTGTCATCGAAAATTTAGAGGGGGAAAATCCTCGCGTTTAATCTCAAAACCAGTGCTTTAAATGAGGGAGGCTCTGATAGCTTTAAAACAATCTGTGTGCATGTTCCTGTCCGGACAAAAAGCCGAGTGAAAAAAGTGGGAAGAAAACGGTCATGAGGGATGGAAATCGACTGGGACGAAAATGGCATCGAAAAAAGTCGAAGGACAAAAGGTCGAAAGAGATAAAAGTCGACGGGAATAAAATATGAGTCAGGATCAAACGCAACAAAAAGTCGAAAGAGACATACGCCGCGTGAGATAAAGTCCAGTCGGTTAAAAGCCAAAGGACAAAAGATCTATAGAGATAAAAGACCATTTGGAAAAAACAAGATGAGTCGAAAAGAAAAGCGAAAGACGAAAGCCCCAAACGGACAAAAGCCGGCAAAAAGTATATGAGGCAGTACTGAGTGCTTACTATCACACATTCAATATCGTGAGCACAGATGAAACGCCGAGCGCTGGCAATATAAATCATGTTTGTTATACGTCATTTGACCTACCTTCTGGTATACGGATGGTCGGTTTCTCGGCATAGTCTGTCTTAACTCGCAATGCCGAACACAGGGGCATAGTCTGTCTCATCTTCAGTTGTGAAGCGGGGGGGGGGGGGGGGGAGTGCTGGTGACTCGCTTCCACCTTGGTGAAGAAGGTGTGTTGAATACGGGAAAATCCGTTCATTGGCGTTTTGTTGGTGGTTTCCATCATTTTTCCTGTTCCGCCCACCGTCCCTTCGTCCTCCCCCAACTCACTTTGCGAAACTGCGCTCCTCGCCGAATGACTTTGGCGCGCGGCTTATCTATCCGCCGCGGGCTGACGCTGGTTTTCACCGTGCGAGCGCGGGGATTCTGGAGGTGTCTAAACGCTCTGTAATCTCGAAAGCGGGTTTAAATAGGTTAGGCTGAGATGTGGCGCGCGGCGTATCTGTCCGTCGCGGGCCACATGCTGTTTTTCAACGTGAGAATGCGATTATTCTGGAGCTGTTTATACGTTCTGTAATCTCGAGAGCGCAAATGAATAGGTTAGGTTGAGATGTGGCGCGTGACGTATCTATTCGTCGCGGGGCCCACGTTGTTTTTTCAATGTGCGAGTACGGTTTTTGGTTGTCATGTTGAGCCCTGACGCTGGTTCCGGACCTGTGCGCCAGGACGAGCAATAGAGCCCTTTAAAAACACCGACCCCATCGAAGGCAAACAGCAACAGTTACAATCATGGATACAGGGACATATACAGTGGGAGGGGCGCTGAAAAGGACGGCAGTGTTTGGAGACCTTATCGACCTGGTGCGCCGACAGCTGGGCACTCAGCGCCCGCACACCTGCAAAATCCATATCGGCCCGGACGGAGGAATTGCCGGCCCTTCAGCAGGTCCCTGACATCTCCGGCGTTTTTCTTGATTATGCAACCTTGCGTTGCATTCATGAACCTTAAATAAAAAAATTATGTGGGCATGGTGAGATCATGTACTCGCGCTTTATTTCTGATCAGTTATATGTGGTGTAATTCTTGTATCATATCGTAGAAATCAGCATACCTCGTTACGAATATGTCACTAAGGTGTGGTGTTAAGTCGCATGCAGACCCCTGTCTGGTATTGCTCTATGCGTTTCAATGAACAGTCTGTAAGAATGCAGCAGATCGATGCATTATGTGCCACCTGAATTTGTGCCATAAGGCAGGACACGTCGTATTCGAGTCCATGTTTTTGATGTTGGTTTCTCTATTTCGCATGGTCCATGTGCTGCGTGCAGCTTGGGGCGACCGCGAATTTTCCACAAGCTCAGTCGAATTGCTGTCATCACGGGCTGTCAATGTGCCACAGGTGGTTTATTGATGACTTCTCGCGGTTAGCGACGGGATAGGCCTACGAGTCACAAGGGCTCCTCGCGGGTAGCGATGGATTGTTGGGAGCCGATGAGAAATTCCGGTGGGCCAACGGGGGGGGGGGGGGGGGATGTCGACATAGTTCAGTGGCAATAGGGAGTGGAGACTACATGGAGATGCCACGGTGAACCTTACATCAGGTGGCAGTTATTACTACGGATAAATCCCGGCGCATAAGTGGTGTATAGCTGTACGGTTCGGCCTATAATTGAGGGAGTCAGATCGTTACACATAATCTGCAGATTGTGTGTAGCGACCACACAATAGGCTTCCCTTTAATAGGACCGGTGACAAGCCTGCAGGAGACCGTGTGAATGTATGAATGCTGGTTGCGGAGTCCCAGTAAAGAAACGCTTAGTGCCCTGGTTAGGACGAAAGCGTGTGCTTCGCAAAAGTCCATATATTATCAGTGAGCCAATGTTTTTGCCACCATTTGCAGTTGCTTCCAGACCTGCGAATCAACACAAAGGGCCAGCTAGCCAACAGCCACCATTAACAGCTACATGCATAATCAATCCAAACGAATGTGATTATTGCTGGTAGACGTATTACACCCAAGGAGCGTTTCTTTTGTAAGGTTGGTCATTGGTGAGTCCAGTCACTATCCCTAGACTACTGCAGACTCACAGTGGCCGCTCTTCGTGCTAAAATGAGCGGCAGGCGGTGCGATGTAGTCTGAGCAGCTGCGCGCATGGCAAAGCCCCAATGACAGGATCAGTACCGGGGGAAAAAGAGTGTCAGATGCCGTCAATCATTCCCACACACGCAGCTAACCTAAAAAACAATCTAGACATGCATAAACATGGTTATTGCGAAGAGGCGGCCCAGTTTCTTTTCTGATTAGTATTTGTAAACGTGTTAAAAACATTATGGCCATGCATATTATGGTCATTTATGTACTCGCACATGACGTGTGCTAGTACGTGACTTTAAGAACTATGCAGGAACTTCATCTAAATTATTGAGTCAGTCTCGGCGCTCGTTGGTTTTATGCAAGTTGGGCTTTGGAATCTCGTAATTGCCGTTTTGTGTCGGTGAGGACTCCTTCGGGCGCTCACGATGATATTGAGGAGAAGTGATGAACCCTTACTCCTCGTTATCTGGACAGCCAGCAGGAGGTGCACAGCCCAGGAATTTAAAAAGAAAACAACCGAAATTAAAGGAAAAAATAATCCCAGCTGAAACCCGAGCGTAACACTATGGTGGCCTGTATGAAGTGAAAACAGCGCGCAACAAAACCAGAACCTTAGAGTCTTTCTCGCCGATATTACGCGCCACGATTTTGTGTCTGAAACATGTCCACACGCTCTGGGTGTTTTAGCCTCATGACGCACACGCGGGTTCACTGCCGACACAGTCGCACAACGGACACCGTCTGCTGTTCTGCGGCTGTTCTCCGTGCTACGCTCGGCCGCTCCGCTCCATCTCGCCGACGTCAAACGCCGGAGATACCGCAGATGCACGCTACCGCGCAGCCGACGACAGCCAGGTGAGTTGCGGAACAGTTGAAACCTTTACTTTGGCGCGGTATTTAGACCCTTAGATAGCAGCTTTCCCTGAAGACTTTCTTAAAATTTGTCTCATTCCATCCTGCCCCGCCAACTGGATAGCATCATGCTCCATCCAGTCTCGTCTGATTCCGTCCTGTTCCGTTCGATTCTGTCCGATTCTGTCTAGTTTCATCTGGTTCCGTCTGGTTCCGTCTGGTTTCGCTCAGCCCCGTTCTGTCCCGTCCGGTTCATTCCGACCACGCCCGGTGACGTCCGGTGCTGTCTGCTCGCGTCTGGCCACGTGGTTCCTTCTAGTGCCGTCCAGTTTGGTTCGGTCCCGTCCCAGTCCCTCGCCCGGTCCCTTCTGTTGTGATCTGGTCCCGCAGGGCCGCGCCCGTTCCCGTCCCGTCCGATCCACTCCCATCTGTCTCTCTCCGTGGCCACAGTTGTATCCACCTCTCATAGCGGGCCATCCTGATGATTTTGCTGTTTTAAATTATCCTGACTGCTGGGGTTTTGCCATAGTCAAGTTGGCATTCATTCCTGTCCATGCTCTGTCTTTCGCCCCATCCTGTTTTCAGTCTTATCCCTGTTCACAAACAGTTTTGGGACTGTTTTCCCACCCGAATTAGATCCCTATCGACTTTTATTCCTCTCGACTTTTATCCCTTTCGACTTTTATCCCTCCACTTGTTTTCGACATAACTTTTCCATTCGACTTTGTTCGGGAACCACATATTCACGTACTGCTGGTTTTGCCCCTTAATGGTTAGTCCGAACACATTTCCGCGCATCTTAAGAACGCAACATCTTCCATGGTGGACTGCGAACAACCACTGTTTTGTTTAAACCGAACACTCCTGCATGACAAGGCATAACGAAATCATCCATTGAAAAATTGCATTGCAGTGTAATGTTTTAAACCACGATTTTGGGCGTCGTTCGTCCAAATCAGAGATCTAGGCTTCGTTATATCCAACTGCATTTTGTGTCCGGATGGGCACATCGTGTTTTGCATCAGATTGAGCGCCAAATAGTGGTCTGGGAATAACGGTAACTGTAACCATACCAGGCAATAATATATGCTCCGAGTGGTGTCACTTTCTAAAATCGGTTGAAGAGGGCGGGGGGGGGGGTGTTGGAGGGGGGCTCAGCCAAATGGATTGACCCAGCATTGCCCGAAAAAACTGATTTTTCCCCAGATTTCGGCCACTTGAATTTGCGTCCTCGATGCTAATCTTTAAAAGGAAATATTTCGTACGATAAGAATTGTTTTCCTGCCGAAGAATGTCTTCCCATTTCAAACAAGCGTTAGCCGCCTTTTTGTGAAAAGCCCAGAAAAAGAAGTAGGAGATCACTGATGGCTACCGCTGCCGCTGATCGTGTTGTAGAACCACCACAGCCACGATTATGCGACAAATACACTTTCCACAGTTGGGGAAAAACATGCGTTAACTTCTAGCTTGGCCACTGCCTGTACTTTTTAAAGCTCAACGTATTGCAGTCAATCATTCTTGACGCTATCATTTGGAAAAAGCTTGTCAAACGTTTGTAGACTGGCTTAACAAATGAAATGGATGGGGTGACAAAAAAATCAGACAGCACGTGGTACTATTTCGCACAAAATTTGCATGATACTAGTAGTGATGTATTTAGGCATCTACTTCCTAGTATGCCAATGATAAATATAATTGCTATGAATTCCTCGGCCCAGTGTTCCATGTTTGCTTATGTGCGTTGAGGGGGCTCAGATGAGTAATGGGGAAGGGGAGCTGAAGTCAGCGTTGGGGGGGGGGGGGGACTCAGGCCCTCCTAAAGCGTATGAAGTGATGCCCTGTATGCTCCCTTCAACCCTCCTGCTTGACATTCCACTGGTCTTCTCTCCTCAACTGAGAACCTTCTCACCGACCAACCAATTAGCACATTTTCGTACAAGCGTCAAGTTCTTCCCACGCGCAGGACAACAATCAAGTTAACGCGAGTGGAAACGGCGCGAATAATCATCTGATCAGCCGACGCAGCCGATCGCGTAAAGCGATTGGCAATAATGTTGCTCGACTGCATACCCACCGGCAGGAAATGGCATTACAGTCCCAAGTGCCGTTATCCCAGCCATAGCGGCGAGGCTCCGTCCCTGACGAACACAGGTGGAACTATTTGGCGGCATTTCGAACCATAAACATTTTTAACTTAAGACATCATGGACCGTGCACGCTCTGAACTAATAGCAGTGGGGCTGGTGGCCGGCCGCTTTATGATTCATGAACCAACCTTCTGTTTGGCAACCGCACTGGGATGGCGACGGCCACCTCGGGATCCGTGGACCGGGCTATATGTTTGACCTGTACCATCCGGGACCGCACGAGGTGAGCTGTATGTGGAACCTGCATACGTCACGGCGGCCACCTTGGGACGCATGGCCTGGGATCTGTGTGGAGCCTGCCAACATCACGGCGGCACGCGTGGTCCAGACCGCATGGAGCCTGTCGAGGTGTCTCATTGGCCACTTTGGGACGCGTGGTCCGGGTACTGTTAGGAGGCCGCTGAGATCACAGCGGCATCTATCACCCGACTGTTTATCTGAGGCCTGCTTGGGAAGCAGTGCACCGCCCGCCGCGCTTCGCAATTGGCGCATCACGATTTGTCCGGCCTAGCCCAGCCGGGACGTCGAGATCAACGGCTTGACCTCCAAGCTGGCTGACTCGAGGACCGTTAGCACGTGCGCATCAGTGGCACAGAAACAAGCGATGGTGGAGGCCAGAACGGTGAGTCTGACTGCGTGAGCCGGGCTCGTTGTATTGGCACCATCCCTAACAGATCCACTAAGTGAGGACAATGCATCTGCCATCTAGGTCAAAGACCCGACTCCAAGCCGAGGTCGCTTTTTGATGTGATCACATCGGTCGAAATTGTCGACATAAATGAAAGAAAGGAAATTCGTTGACCCCAAGTATCGTACACAATAGATAACATGACTGCAACCCACAGGCGAGCAATTTGGCGATAATTCTATCCGGAATATTACGCAACACGCGGAACCGCGTACAACGCCTGCTGAAGGCACCTGCCGAGGAATTGCTCCAGTGACGTCAGTCTTACTTTAAGCGGATGTGGCGCCAAAATCACGAGACGGTCCGACCCTCTTTATACAGCCTTGAGCGGTATCCATCGTCCATCTCCCACAGCCAGCGTGTGCCGGTCGTCCGCGTTGGATCGCGTGGAGTGTTGAGCGAGAGAACACCGCTTGGTGGTATCTCGTCAGGTAATAGATAATATTTTCAAAGAAACAGATAGTCAAATAACGACGGCGAAGTGCCGTGTAAGATTTTGTGTGTTCTTGCCTGTCGAATTATGGTGTAACCGGTATCGCCGGTGTAAGGCAGTCCGCCAGAGATGGCAAAACAGTCCACAGTATGGTTGGGGCATGTTCGATCGTATCAGTGCGGTGTCGAATCAGTGTCCGTAACACGTAGATGGGCTGATAATATGTGATGACGGGGAGCTGATATGTAATAGTGGCATGTGATGTCCAAGGTTTTCCTGATGATGTAACTTGCATGTGTGACATGCTTTTTGGGTGTAGGTGTACTTTCCTACCTAATGTTAGAAAAAATCATTGCACACCATCCATCGTGTTTAAGGCGGCACATATCGTAAATAATCTCAAAACAGGTAGAATCATGCTCCTACCTTCGAATTTCAATAACTACGATGGTGAGCTCCCAAGCGCTGCACGCACCGCACTGCATAAATACAATATTTCTGCTTACCAGGAACTATACAAAATGTGCGGGACTAAGGTAAGCCACTCATCGTGTTTAAGGCGGAACATATCATGAATAATTTCAAAACAGGTAGAATCATGCTCCTACCCTCAAATTTTAATAAATACGATAGTGAGCTCCTGAGCGCTGCATGCACCGCCTCCACTCCCAAGTGCTGTTTCTGCGTTGCCATAAAAAATGAATGTAAGGTGACAATAATACGCGTTTAGGTACGTTTATGAAACACACAGGCCAGAATAGTCCAGAACATATTCTAAACTAGCCTAGCCTAGCCTAACCTGACCTAACCTAACTTAACTTAACTTAACTTAACTTAACTTAACTTAACTTAACCTAACCTAACCTAACCTAACCTAACCTAACCTAACCTAACCTAACTGAGAATAGACCAGAACCTAAGCTAAGCTAAGCTAACATAACCTAACCTAACCTAACCTGACCTAACTTTTATTTAGCTGCCGTGTAATGTTGTGACCGCGCACAGTAATGGCGCCGGTGTCGCGACTGGTGTGTGTGTGTGTGTGCGGCACTTGGGAGCTCGCCATCATAATTATAAAAAATTTGAAGGTAAGAGCATGAATCTACCTGTTTTGTGATTATTTACGACATGTCCTGCCTTAAACACGAAGAATGGTGTACAATGATTTTTTCTAACGTTAGGTAGGAAAGTACACCCTGACCACTTTTTGTTCCTGTTTTATAAAAAAATGAAGCAGAGACGCAGGCTGAAGTCACACTGAATTTGCCATCCAATTTTTGTTTTATGTCTCTATCTTACCAATTCACAGTATGTGTAAATGCAAAGGATGTGAACAGCAGGAACAATAGAAGGTCAAAGTGACAAGGCCACCACTATCGGTCTATCAGAGTTGTGCTGTTGTTTGTGGCTAGTTTAGTTGTTCACCCAAACAGTGGAAGCTATTGCAAATGAGAGTCTTCCTGCATGGACAATATGTATTGTCACAGCCTTTAATTTATTTGGTGGGTATCTGGCCTCAGCAGATGTGTCAGAAGCTGTATGCGGGACCAGACAGGATGTGGCAATGATTCGGACAACTATGACATTTTGTCTTTGGGCTGTACTTACATTAATTGATTATGCTCTTTCATTTTGAATGCACCACAGTGTACTTCAGATTGTTTTCCAGTCGCAATTGATCTGTGTCACAAACCAAGAGCTGCCCCAAAAAACAGGAGGTGCCCCAATAGAGATCTTCCTGCTCCCAAATTTCCTGAACCTGCTCAAATATCAATCCTGTGCCAAGTTCTGGCCCAACAAGCTCATATAAAAAATGTACCATGTTTTGTAGATTGGGATGTAAGGTATACATAACATTGCATATTTTGCTCAGGCTGGAATAGGATGTTTGAATACCTGGATGACTGCATGACTGAATATTTTGATTCTCAACCATTCAAAAACCTTTTATAAGCCACCATTCCAAAGGCCAAAGCTGAGTTGACCAAGTGTTGTTAGATAGTGGGTGGGCCATTGTTGTTAGGGGCAGATGGTCATCAAAGAAAGGGTTAGATTTGGTATAAATATGTTTGAAAAAAGTTTGCATACATGATATTTGTCCCTGGCAAAACATTTTTTAATGCAAAAAGAGCTCATCCTGTGTGCAAGGTTGTGTGGCAGAAGTTTGCCAGGGAGAAAAGTTCACATGAGACAAAGTGAACCTGGGGTGAAAGTTTGTATGGCATAAGTTCATGTAGGACAAAATGTGTAAAGGAAAAAGGTTGGTTTGGGTAAAAGTTTGCATCACATAAGTTAGCATAGCTTGGAAGTTCGGATCACATATGTTTCTCTAACATTTTCGAGCTTAAGGAATTCAAGTAAAGCATTCAATGATCACTTTAACCAACCTTTTTTGCCACTTTGAATGAGTGGATGAATGATGGCTGTCGGGCACTGGCTACGAGCATCGCGTGTGTTTCGTCATTATGCATGGAATATGCGCCGGCGACTGGGCGATTAACCTGTGACATTTTGACGACGCGAAAATGTGGAGTTGCAATCCTTGAACTAAACTTGTTGTGTTGATGGGGCAGTGGCAGAATGACAGATGAATGGGCGGTAAATGAAGACAATGAATCGATGCATGCGGTGGTGTATACTTCGCCATGACCCTGGATACATTTTCGACGACAGCGTGTGGTATTCGGCGCCGTTTGTTGAAATGCAGACATCCAGGCCTGCCCGACAATTACTCCCGCTACTGTACGCCACACAAATTGGTGTTTGGGGGAAGAGTTGCAGACAGTGCACTGGTCGATGCTTTTAAATTGGATTTGCGGCTCTACCCGTTCTGGCTGCGGAGATACGGTTTAGAACATAAAAACCGGGTTATTCCATTCGCACCGCCTCTGCGCACGCCACATGTGGTACCTGCGGCCACCCTTCTGCCACTGCGCGATTCCCGTGCAATTGCCCACCGAAATTTGCCGATTTCTGATTGCTCCGGCCTCTGGTCATCAGGATGTGGTCACTGTTTGGAACAGCTGCTCGTCGGCTTTGTCATAAGTCACATTTTGAGGCCTTCCGCTCAAAACCAAAGGGCAAAAAGTCCACTTCGCAGCACGTGCCACGTGCCACGTGGGATGTGTGAACAGAATGTGTTACAGTCACCAGATTTCAAAAGCTGTCTTCTTGCAAAATGTGAATCATTTGCAGGCGACAGGTCACTATAGGGCCTTGGGTGAACGCATCTGGCCGCTGCGTTCCAGAGCCGGCGGACGCAAAGTTTCATTTTTCGTTCGAGGTGTGACTTCTGCCTATGGCTGAAAGCCAAACATTATCCAGTCCACATCGGTGCTCAATAATGCCCGGCGACGCGTAGAGGATTAAGAGGCCGAGACGTTGTGTACATGCTAACGCGCCAGACGAGGACGACAGTCGGACTATTTCTTCCATGTGTGAAACTAACACCAGGAACACCGAAGTCTGATGTGGTATATGTGTTAAGGAATCATGGCTTAAAACTCTGAATGCTAAAACTGTGTATGCGATAAGAAATTGCGGTTTAGAACTCCCAATTTAAGATGGAGAACTGTGGTGTAGTACCCAGGACCTCCTGTGTAACTCTGGCAATTAGCTGTTCTGGCTCATTGGTGCATTCTATAAAGAAACATAAAAGCTCGTCCTTTTTGCAGACTAACTGAAGTTTATAAAAGACTCATCTTTTTTGCAGACTAACTGATGTCGTGTACTCTGTTTCAGATAAGTCAGGCATGGATGATGAAGCAGAAACATACAAGCTATGGAAGTGCAGAAAAACGGTGATGCAGGTATGCACGGACGTCTGACTATATGAACTAGGTTACACTACTACTGCATAGTATAACAGATATGGTTCTGGGACATGCAACTTTAGAAATTCAGTTGTAATTGTTTTGGCAAGTGCTCAGAGCGTGGATCATTTCCTCCTTTTTCTTCCATAGTGTATAATCTATTCATTTTGAATAGGACACTTGTCTGCGGTTTATTGATATGAAGTTGAAAACGGAGATTGAACTAACTGTGAAAACATATTTAAGCAACCTGTTCCAGTTATCTACTCCCACATCACTGTACATGTAGTAAGCTAGTCCTGCCATCATTTTCCTAACCATATCTTGTATTCTCTTGCTGTGAATATGGCAGGCTAGTCGTGCCATCATTTTTCTAACCATATCTTCATGTTCTCTTGTGCTATTTTCTTTAACGTAAGAGATACCTTTAGAATTACCCTGTTATTCCCCATAAAAAACTTAAAAGGCTTCATGAGTTCTTCCCTAAGCCTTCTATATTTGAAATTGATCAAATATAGAAGGCTTAGGATCAACTGGCCTTTCAAAACTGATCTATGAACATGTTCATCATAGGTTCGGATCTAGGTCCAAAATGCAATTTTCGCATTTCCCATTTTACCAAAGCCATATGGTTACATCACCGTGAATTTTGAGATAATGGCCTCATGTTTGGATTATTTCCCTAGGTAGCTTACTTGATGCCCTATTACCATTTAGTGCACAAATAGTTCTTGCCAATTAGTGAATCGAAAACATCGAGCGAATCGAAGCACAGGACAGGAGACCACCACCAAACACAGGACAGGAGACCACCGCCAGACGCAGGACAGGAGACCACCGCCAAACACAGGACAGGAGACCACCGCCAGACACAGGACAGGAGATCACCGCCAGACACAGGACAGGAGATCACCGCCAGACGCAGGACATGATACCACCGCCAGACGCAGGACAGGAGACGACCGCCAAACACAGGACAGGAGACCACCGCCTGATGCAGAACAGAAGACCACCGCCAGACGCAAGACAGGAGACTACCGCCAAACACAGGACATGAGACCACCGCCTGATGCAGAACAGGAGACCACCGCCAGACGCAGGACAGGAGACCACAGTCATACGCAAGACAGGTGGAATCCACCGTCACACACAGGAGGGAACCCAAATGACTGTGAACTTCACACTAGCGAACGTCGTCTTGCTTGCACCAGTGTCGTCCATGCACGCGATGATATCGGACTTACTATAAGAAGGAAGAATGCTAGTGCTGTTCTGAAATGACGGCCGCATAATTCATACTTGAACATATACAACATGAACTTGCTGATTCGGGATATCTCGTTGATGACACAGTTCCACTCCCAGCGCTATTGTTGTTAATATCCTGTCTTAAGCGTTCACTAGAGCGTGTTTTGGAACCATGTTCAAAGGTGGCAGGTTCCCTCTAATTGCCTAAAACAACCTTCAGATCATCTGCGAGCTTCAAACCCTGCTGTGTAGCCTGTACCGCCATTCATGCGTCTTTCCCTGGCCTTTTGGTATCGCACCTGTATAAAGCGTCTTGCCTCAGGACTACTCACAGGTCATCAGATGTGCTGACCAGTCACCCTTCTCTGTTGTGCAGCTTTGCCATGACCGCGGCTACCTGGTGACCCAGGACGAGTTGGACCAGACGCTGGAGCAGTTCAAAGACCAGTTCGGAGACAAACCTAGGTAATTGTCCATTTCGGCTCTAGGCTTACGCTAGCCCTACTTATTCACCCTTTGTGTTATGGGACCCGATATTAACTGTACTTGAAAGCTTGATACATAAATATTTGCGTTTGGGTGTGAGCATCGCCAGCTGGCGTGGTTCGATTCCGCCCTGAGACACATCTGAGTGGTGTGGGATCCGCTGTGATTGTCACGGTCGCGGCGGAATGAGAGACGGGCAGGTGAAGTCCGGCTGCATTGTTTTGCTGTGCTCTGCTTTTTCGCATGTGCGTTGGTCAGAATGTTGTGTACTTTCCAGGGCTTTGAGGCTCTCGAAAACTCGTAAAAATGTTTGGCTGGATGACATGGTATTTCCTTGCCAACCAATCAAGACCGTCTGCTCTGTATGCAGCACATCCTGATTTTTCAGTTACAGGGAGTATCCCACTTTTTTGCACTTTTCACTTTTTGTTTCATCAGACGCGCACCATTTGATCAGTAACACCAGTTCTTTCTTCGAAATCCTTCTGAATAGCTCAGAATTTCGATTTCAAGAATCTGACGTTGCGGGAGAAACCTCGTTCGACTCCCTGCTCACCACTTTGAAAGTGTTACTTTTTATTTGCCTTGCTTCTGTAATGTGTGCAGCACACTAATGATGGATGCTACGAAAGCCTGAAACAATATATTTAAGCAAGAAATTTATTCGAATATGAAGCTATTATTCCGCGAATTTATGAACGTTGTACTATGGCTTTGGTTTCTCCCCGGTGATGTGTGGCACAGTGGCTTTTCGAGGCGCACTGTCGTGTTGGGAATGGCAGCATCACATAATCTATGTAACGCACTGGTTCAGGCTTCAGCCAACTAGCTTCTCGGTCATGGTGGCGGTGGCTGCGACTGCAGGGAAGAAGCATTGTGCTGTTACAAAGCGTGGACAGTGTAATTTGGACTCGAAAGATAACTAAAATTTTTATCCTTATGATGTATTGACAGCTTTACCTTGGCACTAACCATTGCTATTATTAGACATAACTAGTCCTGCGCTTCACTATAGTATGTTTTTGGAAATATTCCCCAAAGGTGGGACACTCTGTTTAATGATCATTTCTTGTTTGCTAGCAGTTGCACCAGCAAATAATCACCAGCTGAATCCATGTTCACGTTTCTGAATGCCATTGTGATGGTTCGTCCATGTTCAGGATGATGAGGATTCGTATATTTGTGGACCTGTGACGAGTCTTGGCTGTGTACTGCACTTTGCATGTGTGGAAAAATGCTGTAGTCTGGGTTGGTGCCCTTAAGCATTGTGTTCTGTTAGTGTCGTCCGCATGCAGTTTATGGTGAGACAATTCTTGTAACAAATTTGAGGTAGCTCTCAACATAACACGCAACGTGATCATTGCCTTAGCTCTCAATGATTGCCCTTATGTTTTATTTTGGCGTGTATTTCGGATTTTTCATCAATTGTGATCCTCGCTGGGATGATATTGAGTGAAGTGCTCCGGGAATAAAGCCCTCCACTCTCTTGCAGGGAGGCCACTGACGATGAATATCAAGCGCGTATTTCGTAAAGCCGCTTTTTTCATCTAAACTTTTGTGCGAATGTGCGGACTAAAGGCTGGAGGGGCATGTGTCGCGTGTCATGTATCATGTGTCTTTCCATTTGAGGATGGTACGGATTTGCGCTGACGCTCGTCCTGTGTTTCAATATCATCGTCATTATCCACCATCAGACAACAAGATAACACCATTGGCATCGTCAAGGTCACCGTCATCGTCATTATCATCGTCGTCACCTTTCCTATCGTCATCGTCATGATCATCACGTTCACGCGGCGTTCGCGCATGTATTGCAGCGAGAGGCGGCCGGCGCGTAGTGATCTGATCATCCTGGTGGCCCACACGGATGACCCGACAGGTGAGCGTGCCGTCGCAGCCCAGCCGCCGCAGGGGCTGGGTGACCTCCGCTGTCAGCAGTCCTGCCACCGGGGGGCTAGGTGACCTACACTGGCCGCAGCCCTGCCACCGCGGGGCTGGGTGAACCCCGCTGGCCGCAGTCCTGCCACCGCGGGGCTGGGTGAACCCCGCTGGCCGCAGTCCTGCCACCGGGAGGCTGGGTGAACCCTTCTGGCAGCAGTCCTACCTCCGGGAGGCTGGGCGACCTCCGCTGGCCACAGTCCTGCCACCGGGAGGCTGGGTGACTTCCGCTGGCAGCAGTCCTGCCACCACGGGGTTGGGTGACCTCCGCTGGCTACAGTCCTGCCACCGGGAGGCTGGGTGACTTCCGCTGGCAGCAGTACTGCCACCGGGAGGCTGGGTGAACCCCGCTGGCCGCAGTCCTGCCACTGGAGGGACTGGTATCCCCGGTGGAGGGATAAACAATGGCCACGTTACCCCCGACGACAAATGGTGGCACGTATTTGTGTAGGCTCTGGGAGGTTATTTCTACATTAATCTGTTGTAACTGACAACATTCGTACAGTTGTAGACGCTCGTTTCAGCTGGCTGATCTGCCAGCCGTGGTCCGAGCATGACAGCAACGCCACCGAGCGGTGACCGGACGACATGTTTGGCCCGGCAGACCAGATGTTTGTGTTCTTCCCTGACGACGCCAAGATCGGCATCAAGACCATTAAGACGTACTGCCAGCGGATGCAGCAGGAGAACATCTCGCGAGCCATCATCGTCGTGCAGGCCGGCATGACGCCGTCGGCCAAACAGGTGAGCGGCGGCCTCCAGCGTCAGGCCGCCTGTCTCTGAAGACCAGCGAGACTTGGTCCAGCTCAGGGGTCCAGGCTGTGGCGTTTCATACCCATTTTTCATATCCCTCCCACCCCCAGTGGACCATATTCTATATATGGCCAGATGGTTGGATGGTTGGATGGTTGTAGCAGCGCGCAGCAGCGCTTTTGACGGTCTGTCGTGCGCCACAGCCTGCCGTGCAGTGTCACGCTGGCTGATGCTCTGTGCCGCCACACAGTCGCTGGTAGACATGGCGCCCAAGTACATCCTGGAGCAGTTCATGGAGTCGGAGCTGCTGATCAACCTGACCGAACACGAGCTGGTGCCGGAGCACGTGGTGCTCACCGCGGAGGAGAAGCAGGAGCTGCTCACCCGCTACCGGCTCAAAGAGAACCAGCTGCCCCGCATCCAGAGCGGTGATCCCGTGGCACGCTACTTCGGACTGCGTCGCGGACAGGTACGGGCGGCGTGGCGCGCCTCCCTCCCGCCACCGTTCATGCCCACGCTGCTTGAGCCAGGCGGTGGTCTAGTTTGGGCATGGTCTTGAACGGAAAGCTGTACCGTTGCCATCCCGTTTTGTATTTTCCTGTGTCCTGTCATCGGATTTTGTTTGGGAGGTAATGAGTATATCCGGGTTTGCAACAGCCGAAAGGTGTCTTTGTTCCGGAAAACTGCGACTAGAGTAGTGTTCCTTCCCCTTGCGGGAAGTCGATGAAGGTGCCGTGGTATGCGCCGTCGGACGTGGCAGCTGTGTGTGCCCCCAGTGCTGTTGTCTGACAGTTCTCATATCGCTGGCAGAGCCTAGAGTCGTCTGCAATGGAAGTGTGTGTGGGTGGGTGGGGGTTGGGGGGGGGGGGGGGGGCAGATGACAAGTGAGCTTGCACCGGTTTGTTTTCAGTAAATGCTGCTGCGTGTTGGGCTGTTGGGATCTTTGGATGGCAACCTCCTCACAAGGATGAATGCAGAACGCCGTCCTGAGAACGGATAATTACGGCTTGGCGACCAAACATCAAAAATGTGGCCTGGTTGTTCTAAATTCACTCCCTAGTTGTGAAATTTTTTACATCTTCAGTTTTGAAGAAAGTTATTTTTTGCCTAACTTGGATAGGGGCAATCAGTGGGGGGGGGGGGGGGGGGGCGGGGGCGAGTCCCCATGACCCGGTGACCCCAGGCAGTCATACCTTTAGATCCGTCCCTGCCTCCCCACACAAATCTCCACACAACTTTGACGGACTTCCGTGTCCCTCTGCGGCAGGTGTGCAAGATTATCCGGCGGTCGGAGACGGCGGGCAGGTACGTGTCGTACCGGCTGGTCTGCTGACCTGGCTGGCGGACCCTGCATTGTCACCCTGGCTGGCCTGACGTCCTGACGTCCTGGCTGCGGACGCCGGCAGGCCTGCGCCGCCATCTGGCGGGCCGGCGATGCTGCTGCTGACTGCCGCCTTAGTGGATCTCCCACTGCTGCACCCCGCCAGGATATGTTCGGCGCGGGAGCGTTACGTGGGTCGGCTGGGGTGTGTTTACCGCAGCGTGTTTTCCCGATTGGGCCTGGGGTCCAGACAGTGTTTCATCTCATCTGCTCTGCTTGTGTCATGACTGAATACAGTGTTGAAACGACGACGGTGTCGGCGGGGCAGCGGAGCAGTTGGCGATGCGGCGCTGCGTGAGTTCATGGTTAACTCATTCACGAGGTGCACGATACTGCATGGCAGGAAAGCTTCTTTGGTAAGCTGCTCAGTGCAGCGGCGTGGAATATTTAATGTGTATAAGAACGATTCTATTGGAATTATTTCCTTGGTAGTCACAGAGAATATGGGAGGATTGTGAGATGCTGATATTTCAATAGATGCTTGTGGCTTGAAGATCAATATATCGTTATTTTCTCGCCTGAACTAACGGGAGACGGGGCAAAGAGAAGTGCTATTACGAAACCTGCTGTGGTGGCTACATATTCGTCAAGGGCGGCATCGTAACAACTTACAAAAAAGCTGGTCGAACACTTGCCAACACAGTATTATTTCAAGTAACACTTATTCTGATAGGGGAGTGGTCGATGCAACAACCCCCTTCCCCTGCCCCGAAGGTTTTCTGAGAATATCTTTCCGGTATGTGGTGTGATCGCGTTCGAATTTTCAGTAATCTCGGGCGTTTATCGCTCGTGTTTTGACACCAGAACAGTATCACTAACATCTCTGGTTCCTTTACAACGACGGCTTTTAGGAACACTGCTGCGATCTCCGGCCGGCAGTAGACTACGGCGGCTGGCGGCAACGGCGAATGGGCCGTTCGCGCGGGGTGGGCCGACGTATCAACGCAGGCGCACGTCACAAATCTACGCCAAAAATACACAAAGTCACCTATCAGTACGGTCGGAATCAAAAGAAAAATGCGTGTGCAAATTTTGTGTCGCTACGTGTTCGTAAATTTGACATGTATAGCTGTGTTTTCCTTGAAATTGAAATGTAAAGCAGAAGGATTTTCAGGAAAAGTTTGCCCTTGACCTGGAGTGAAGAGGTCGTTTATTGACCTACCAACACACAAACTATTATCAATTGCAATATTTCGCTGAGACCGGCGCACCGATTTTTCCTGGAGCGGGAGCCTCTATTTTCCTTAGTTTGAAAATGGCATGGAATTACTCTGCCTTTCCTCTCCCATCATTTAGCGTTGGGAAGAACGGCGAATCAGGGCTAGGCTTAGCAAGCGCTCGGGGCAGGAGAAAGAGGCGTCAGTAGCGCTCGGGGCAGGGGAAAGAGGCGTCGGTAGCGCTCGGGGCAGGGGAAAGAGGCGTCGGTAGCGCTCGGGGAAGGGGAGAGAGGCGTCAGTACCGCTCGGGGGAGAGAAGAGGCGTCAGTTTGACCTCCCAAAGGTTTTCCAGAATTATGTTTTGACAGTGCGGTGTAGCCACGCCAACCTTTGCACAGCTGTGAGCCAATAAAAAGCGGACTTTTTAAAATAAAAATAAGAGGTACCTTGTAAGGTCGCTGCCTTTTGGCAGGTCAAAGTCAAGCCGTGGCTGGCAGCGAGGGCCATTTCAAGGGAAGCATTCAATCTAATGCGGAAACGGAGTGTTAGACGAAGCCATACATCACTGAGATGGTTTCTTAGGCGATAACACGATTGAATCTATGATTGCAACAAACGCAGTGACCAAGGGTCAAGTATGAAGATCATTCCTAGGTCAAAACTAACCTGCTTTTTTAATCGATAGCCTGCTTTACGTGGTAGCTTCTGGTACTCATTTCTAGTCTTTTAATGACAGAGACCGCAAAAGACCTGTTCCCCTAAAATTATTCAGGCCAACATTTGGTTTTAGGAACATACCGCCTAGCGTAGCCCCTGACGCTTATTCAGATGACAAAATAGAGGAAATATCAAAGGTTTTTGGTCACCTTGACCCTCCAAAGGTAAAAAAGTCACTGAACTTAAATGCAAACTACTTAGAACAGCTGTCTGAGCTCAAGGCAGCTGCACGAGGAGGTCGATGGCACTTTCGACACTAATCTGGAGTTGGACCTTGTTTGACATTACTTGACCCGAAGGTTATGACCTAGGAACGTCAAATTTTGACACAAGTCAGTTCACATGCTTGGCCAATCCACCTTGTAACTTAAACGTATCTTACACTCCTTGTTTTCGAGATCTCGGGGGTGGTGGAGTCAAATTGACCCCACCCGAGCAAAGGGTATTCAACCGGCCGCCCGGGGCGGCCGGCCGCTGCGCGTGTAAAACCTTTTGACATTTTACTTACGGCAGTGGCGCACTTTACTGAGATAATCGCAGCGATACCCACGAAAAGTGACTGCCACGTATCGGCTGCCTCAGCACAGAAGACCGGAGTCAGGGGTGTGTTAGCAGGTGTCCTGGCCTAAAGGTGGGCGACAGAGAGACTGCTGCTACTCACTGGAATGAGAAGCGGGGGGGGGGGGGGGGGGGGCATTCGCTGGATTGGGAGTGGAAGATGCGTTGCTAAATATGCGTTGCGTTGTTTTGTTTGTCGGTTAGGTTAGGCTTCACATGATCGCTTTACGACGCTTTCAGAGCATGACACTCGCATGCTAGAGGGCAGGAAATGCGGAAGCGCAGTACTCTGATGCAGTGCCCATTTGTGAAGCTAACGCAGATCAATCGCCATGTTCTGTATCGTCAACCTATCCAACTGCGATATGCATTACGTCCTCACTTACCCAGTCATGCCGTGGCGGCATCAGTGCGATGTGCGCCCGCTGGTCGTCGCTGTGATTCAGCAGACTCCGGTGACGTCGACATTCGCGGAGAACTCATCACGTGTCTCCAGACAGATAATAAGCATGCTGACTGCTGAACGACCTTGAACCGTTTTTGCTCTCGTGCGTGACGTTTGGAGGAACCCCAGCCCCGTTGTCTGTCGAGCAAGGATGCGTCCGGACAGCTGCCGCCGCATCAGCGCCTCAGTCAGCCTGCTGGGTCTGGTCCTCCGCCTGTCCACCCACCGAGCCGACAGGTGATGGCTTTCGACACTCCGTCAACATCCGTCGCTAAGAGGTTACCTTCTCGTGTAAGTTGTCATGCTGCCTTGAGAAGGCATGTTTGCCGGTGTCGGGACGCTGCGCAGCCGAATCTGCCGATGTTGGACCACTCTCCAGCTGCATTCGTTCATGTTGGGCGGCCACCGAGCTCTCCACCAGGGCTGGTTGTCCTCGCAGGTGTCGGAAATACAACACCATGCTATCTTGGGTAGAAATTGGTTTGCTTGCGTTGCTACTGATCATTATTTGGCCACCAGTGTGTACTCCACTCATCTGCTTCATTGAAAAGCTGACATCCTCACGCTCCCGTTTTCTCCGCCCGTGTCGGACCGTTCCCTAATCGTCTCCGCCTTCGTTGGACCGCTCCCCAGTTATCTCTGCCCATGTCGGGCCTCTGCAGCAGCTATGTCTGCCCATGTCGAGTCGCTGTGGAGTTGCCTCCGCCCACGTCGGGTCGCTCCCCAGTCAGTTGTCTCCGCACGTGTTGGACCGCTTTTCAGCAGCTGTCTCTGCCCATGTCGGGCCGCTCCCCATCAGTTGTCTCCACACGTGTCGGACCGCTGAGCGGCTGCCTCTGCCGGTGTCGGGGCTCTCTCTAGTTGTCTACGTCGGTGTTTAACAACCCTGTAGCTCTCTCCGTCTGTGGCAAACCGTCATAAGCTGTCTGCGCCGGTGTCGGGCCGCTCTGCGATGTCGGACCGCCCCAACTGTCTCCGCCGGTGTCGGATCGCACCGCAATTGTCTCCACCGACGTGGCGCCGGCCGTCTGTTGTGCGCGGGCGTCGTTGGGTCGCACACTGTCGCTCCCACCGTTTTTCGGCCGGCCGCGATGCCGCGCCGACCGAGCCATCCATCACACCGCGGCAAAAAGGCCGGTCGCAGCCCGTCACGTGGGATGTGCCCAGCGACTGCGGCCGTCACACCCGGTCCGTACGTGCTGCGGCGCTCCGCCACTGCCGGCCGGCCCACCGACGGCGGGGGGCGGCGCAGTCTGCTGCCGCACTGGCGGGGTCCTGACGCCAACGGCGCCGGTCCTCTCATCGGGCCGCTCGAGAGGGGAGACGGAGTGGAGGGCTTCGTAACTGGTGACGGGAAACGCGTCGTGAGTGCTCGTAGCCAAAACGCTGCTCGTGCGGCTTGAAATGTGAAGGTAACAGATACTCTTGAATACACAGAAGTCCTTTGAATAAGACGGAGATAGAGAGAAAAGAGCAGGCGGGATGTGACATAAGTGGAGACAGGAATGCAGAAAAAGGGAGGGATGCAGATACACATCAACAAAGCAGTCACAAAGCGAAGAAGTAAGAGCGTACAAAGCATAGTTCAAAGCTAAGCATCGGCAACTTCTGCATGATGCGGCGAGACGAATAAAGCGCGAGTGTGTTGGCCTTGCTGCAAGCTCACGAACATGACAATGTCTTGTTACATGTAAGTTACTGTAAAGCTTGAACTTGACTAGGTGTCGGATCACGAAGTCATTTTCGGTGTTTTTCGGTGTTCGGTGTTTCGGCATCAGTTCGGTGAAAGCCCGAAGCTTTGGAAACGCTGGGATACTCCTCCATGGTTGAAACATGAACGGAGAAACGGCATGTGCATTTCGAAGCCATTCCATCAGTGTTCGTCCGACGCCGGCGCGAGTTACTACTTCTTGACATCTTGCACACATTCAGCGATGTCACGCGGTGGTGAACCTGATGAATGCCTCGAGCTTAACGCGCAGCAAGTTTGGAGTAAATGAAGTAGCTCCTATTATTATATACGTCTTTGCTTTCCGGTGATTAATTTGGCTGTGAAAACCAATATGGGCGGTGTGTGACTAATGGTAAGTAATGCAGGTTGAGGGCGAATAATCTGAGATAATTTTGGTCGCGGTATGGCCGACAAGCCGCATTATTGTGTCCAGATACTCATCCAGCGGATAACCGCACGTACCATGCTAGATAATCCGCACACAGATCCGTTCCGACAACGTCACAGAGTATCGTAAAAGTCTCGCCCGACATACGACTTGCAGGCTTCTAAAATAGGCTTGTAATGGCGACACCGCTATGCTTATCCGGATTGATGAGAAGTACACGGTCGATTATGTGCAACGGCAGTTCCCTTGTGT